CTGTGTTGAATAGAAGTTGAAGCTTGGGGTCTACAGTCAGACTGCTAGGTTCAGATCCCAGCTATATAGCTTTGTGACCTTGAACAAGTTATTTAACCTTCAGTGTCTGCTTCTGGGAAATGGAGGTATGTACCTTATAGAAGGGTGTGTGTGTGTGTGTGTGTGTGTGTGTGTGTGTGTGTGTATGAGAGAGAGAGAGAGAGACAGACAGACAGACAGATAGATAAACAGAGTCTTCCTATGTTGCCCAGGCTGGCCGAGAACTCACAGGCACAAGCAATCCTCTTGCCTCAGTTCCTGAGTACTTAGGATATAGGACAAGGTCACTGTTCCCTGCTGTAAGGTTCTTTAAAGGGTTAAATTGTATATGCATGTGAAATGCTTTGAACAGTGACTTAACATATAGCACTCAGCAAATGCTGTCAACTGGTTTTTTTGTTTGTTTGTTTTAATAGGAGGCAGTATAGGATGTCACTGCATGAAAGATTGGGGAATTTCAGACTGAGAGGTGAAGGGAGCATGCATGTGAGACCTGTTGTCATGGGTATCTGGACTCTGTATAAGCTGCCTCCACTGAGGGGATCCAGCTTGGGGCCCTGGGGCATGGCTCAGTGGTAGTGAGTGTTCAGCCTATGGAAAGCCCTTGGTTCAGTTCCTAGCATCAGTGGGAGCAAAAAAGCATTCAGCTTGAGGTCAACCCTAATCAGAAAGCGGGAAGAAGAAGTCTTCTCTCCCTTCTCTCACCTAACCAAGCCCTCCTCTCTCCCATCAGTCAGACCCACCATCCCAAGGAGCAGTCAATTCCACAGCCAACCCAGGGCCAGGGGCCTTCTCACAATCTCTTCTGTGCCTTACCTGCTTATGTTCACAGGATTTCCTGACCTGTGAGATTTGTTGTATTTTAATATCTTAAATCACCATTACAACTCTTTCTTTCTTTTTTTCTTTGTTTGTTTTAAGATTTGTTTTACTGAGGTGCCATAGCTAAGCAAGAAAACACAGAGGTTTTACAGAAAAGACACTCCTGAGTTTGAATAAGTGAATGACTCTCTCACTTATTTTGTGACTTAACCTCGCTGACATAAAATGAGAATGCCTGCACTGTAGAGTCATCATGCCTAATATACAGTAAATAAGTATCTCTATATGATAGCTATTATAATTTTCTGAAGAACCCTGAAGTCTCTTGGTGACAGGAGTACAGTCCRCAGGATACAATCTTGATCATTTTGATGAACTAGATGCAGTGCTTGAATTAGAGCAGCTTTGTTCAGCTTAACTTTAGTATTTCCCTTAGGATAGAATTTCTGTGTATCCGTGGATGTTTCAGTTATCTGTTGCTGCATAACAAACTGCCCAAATCTTAGTGGTATAGGAAAAAAAAAATTATTTATGCTTAAAGATTCTAGTGCTCAAGAATTTGGACCAGGCCCAGCAATGATGGCTTACTTCTGCTCCATATAGTCTAGAGAGACATCAGGGGAGACCCCAAGGGCTAGAATTATTGGAGACCTTTTGACTCATGGCCAGAACCTGTGCTGAGAAGACTTGAAGGCATGTTCTTCCAAGGTCCCCAACCAAGCTCGTACTATTGCCTGTCAGTTGACTTGGATTTTTTACAGCATGGTAGCCAAAAGCTACCATGAGAGTGAGCATCCCAAGAGACACCGGTGGAAAGCTGCATGGCCTTTCACTATCTCTCTTTAGCAATTACACAGTATCACCCTGTCTATACTGGCAGAAGCCATCATAAACCTACTCAAATTCAAGCAAGGAGGGAGGATAGGAAGGATGTAGACCCCACTCTCAAAGGGGAGACATGGTTAAGAATTTGCAGCAAAATTTTATGAAAAGTGCCACAGTGCATTTATGGTTCCATCTTGAGACATGTTAGGTCTCCTGGCTTCTACTTATAGCAAAGCAAGCCATATAACCTGTATGGCAAGTTCTCAGTACTACCTTTATATAGCGAAAGCAGCCAATACAATATGCAAACACATGAGTGTGTTCCAATAAATTTTTGTTTGTGGATACTGAAAGTAGGAWTCCATGTAATTATTAAATGTTATAAATAGTATTTTTAAAAAGAAAAACATTTAGCTGGGGATGTAGCTTAATGGTAGAACTTACCTAATATGCCCAAGGCCCTAGATTCAATCCCTAGCACTGAAGGGGGGGGGGAGGAGAAAGTCAAGCAATACAGTAAAGGGGGAAAACAATACCAAACAGAATCCCAAACTTTAAAATGTGAGAATCATTCTTAGGTCATGGCCTACATAGAAACAGGCCTTGGACCAGATGAGAATATTTAACTCTTAAAAGATCTGACTTTTTATGGTTAGAATTTACCAAATGTGTAAAAGAAACTCCTGGGCATTTCTCAAGTGAAGTTGATTCCAAATTTCATTTTATTTTAATGTGAAATGGCGAAGATACTGTTTGGAAATTCAGTTCTTTCAAGTATACTTTATCTTTATTCTGTTCCAAAACATTTGTTACCGAGTGATAGACTACACTCTTGATACTTCTAGATAGCCACTCATGATATTTATGTTAATCAGAAGTCGGAACCTAAAAAAAGATAGAGCTTCTTCTTGATGGTGTCTCTATAAACATATATTGTTGTATATTCTAAAAATAAATATCCTATGGTTTTAAAGAAATTGTTCATCATTAGACCAAAAGATAAGCTTAATAACTCTTAGTCATATGTATGTATATATATATGATTCATGAGGTGCTTTTTGAATGCCTACAGTACTAGATGCTGAAGATACAGAGGCAAACATATATGGCAACTGCTCTTGCAGAGCACACAGTCCAGAGAGAAAACTGGTCATTAAACATGTAATAGCATTAAGAAGCAGTGTGCATTGTAAGAGGGGTGTGCCAGGCACTGGGAGAGTATGTATTAGGTCTTCCAGCTGGACCTGTTGCCTCCCATCCTTAAGCACCCACTGAGTGTGAGAATCTAGAAGAGGACCATTAGATCAGTGCCCGTGCTATTGTAGAAACCCAGCTGCACATCTACTGATAATGCTGAGCAGTCCTATCTTTGTATTTAAACTATGTTTAAAGGTGTAGGCACCTACGATGGCTTCTTTTGTATTACTTTCAGGAAGGAACAACATAGGACAAAATGGAAATTTGTAAATTTGAAATTTGTTACACCCTCCCCTCCCCCCATGAAGTGCCACTTTGAATGGGTACATAATTAAAATAGAAGAGTTTTGGAACTGTTAGCTGAATTACAAATGGGGATAATTATTTTCGATTTTTCTCTAAACCCAGGTTTCTCAACTGAGACACTACAGATATTCTGGGCTGGATAATTCTTGCTTATGGGAAGCTATCCTGTGCATTGTGGAATGTTTAGGAGTATCCTTACTGCTACCTGTCTACTGGTACTTGTTTCCACTGCGTTTTGACAAGCAAAATTATCTCCCAACATTGGGAAATGTCCATTGGGGGGCAAAATCACCAATGGTCTGAACTAAAATTCAAGTGTTTGTATATATTACTGTAGTGAGCCCAACGAGGAAAATCTGTATGTTATTAATAAATAGTAAGAGCTGTAGTTCAGGGAGTAGAATAGCAGGTAGACCGGATTATCTTCCACATACACAACTCCTCCTTTGAAAATGATGAAATGAATTTAGGCAACCCATCATCCAATTAAACATCACTTTTATATTCTTTTATGATGTCTGGAAGTTTTTCTAAACTTTATAATTTGTGCAGTTTTTAGGAAGGTTAAGAACTTCCCTTCTTTTATTGAGACTTCAAAAGCTCTAGAATTTCTCTGCAACAAAATCAACATTTAAAAATTGGCTAGAAAAATAACAAGTGAAGATATTCTGATTTGACTCCGTGTTCTCAGCCTGTATACTATTGGATTGTGCGAGACACATAACCCAAAGGAGATGATTAGTTCTCCTCTAGTATGCTGATAATGAATAGCTCTACAAAACCAATTAGCTATAATTCTATCAGTCATTTCATTTGGGTAACATTTTGTTTAAGGGGAAGAAAAACAACACTGTTTTCCTTGGAGATCTGCAATTAAGCTGTGGTGTTTGATGGGAACAGTGGAGGAGAAAATAGTGTGCTTACCAATTTGCTTTCATTATTCCCACATGAAAGTAAATCATGATAAAGTGTTCTGTTCACAGCAGTTAAGAAAGACATTTGTCCATCTTGAAGGTGTAATAGGCCACAGACAATGCTATTTCTACTTACACATTTTGTTTTATATGRATGTCTGCATTGTAAAACTCCCAAGAATTACCATTCACATGGAAGACCAAGAATGGTGTCCCTGGGGTTGTATATATAGCAGGAGGTAGTGAATGTCCTTCCCTTCCTTCATGTCTCCTCCTCCCACCCTAAGTTCATGTGAATCCAGAACCACTAATAATGGAAAATGATTCTCCTCTTTTTTTTCTTCCAATCATTATTATTGCTCTGTAACTTGCAATGCCTACTGTCATGCCAACAATAATACCTGACTAGTCTTTTTTTAAAAAAAATATTTATTTATTTTTTTAGGTGTAGATGGACACAACACAATGCCTTTATTTTTATGTGGTGCTGAGGATCGAACCCGGGTCCTGCCCATGCTAGGCGAGCGCTCTACCGCTGAGCCACAATCCCAGCCCCACTGGCTAGTCTTTATTTCCTTTTTCCAGCAAGGCATTTTATGAATAGCTATTAATCCATTTGAATTTGTACACATGACAAGTTTGTAGTACATCATCATCTGTTATGAGAGAGAAACACTGTTTTATTTCTGTCTGAGTTTTCTTCTGCAACTTGGGGGCAGTTTTGCAATTTTTGTCTTAGCCCACATGGTGGAAGAAGACCTTGGTAGGTTTTTTTTTTTGTTTTACTGGAATTTTAACATATGCAGCTTGTGGCACAGATTAATTATTTTATTTGAAGGAGTACAATGGGTTGTTGTCTTGAACTTGCCATTTATTCTGCTTCCTGTCATCCCACAGCTAGCCAAAAAAATCCGTGAGAAGTTCAACCGGTATTTGGATGTGGTGAACCGAAACAAGCAAGTTGTGGAAGCATCCTATACAGCTCACCTAACCTCCCCGCTGACTGCGATTCAGGACTGCTGCACTCTTCCGCCTTCCATGATGGAGTAAGACTAACATTCTGTGTTGTTGATGCCACAAATTGAATCTCTCAGTTTAGTATTCAAAATACCTGTGTTTGGCCTGGGGTGGCACAGGCTGGGGAGGCTGATGCCGGAGGATCACAAGTTCAAAGCCAGTGTCAGCAATTTAGCAAGGTCCTAAGCAACTTATCTAGACCCTGTCTCAAACAAAAACTTAAAAAAAGGCTGGGGATGTTGCTGAGTGGTGAGTGCCCCCTGGGTTTAATCCCTGGTACCAAAAACAAAAACCTGAGTTTGTTTATTGAAAAATATGCAGTTTGTGTCCTATTGTTTAAGCTAAACCCTTTTTACATAGACAAGTGATTTAAAAAAAAAAAAAAAAGTAATGTGATTCAGTGTTCTGTAGCTACCAGCTTCCTGGATCTTCCTAGTCACCTTTCTGTGTGGTCAAATTCAGGTTCAGGAGCATTGACTATAGATTAAGTATGGATTCTACTAAATTTAGAAAACGACAAATGTTTTTGTCATGAGTCTGGTCTTAAGCCATGAAGAAGATAGTCCCACAGACTTACTTTAAGGGAGAGCTTTTTATCTTTGAAAGAGTAACAAAAAATTCAAAAATCCCACTTCACACTATAGAAGATATAATCTTTAAAGCTCCCAAGGGAAATGTGATTTCAGATATTATTAAAAGAGGATTTTTGCACATTTGAGGATATTTCTGTTTATTAGCCTAGCAGTGTTTCTTTCTGGAGGAGTTTAGGGTCTTAGGATGCTGGAAATGTCATTGGGAAGTATCATTTGTGTAGAAAAACACAGAACTTAAGTTTTAATTTTAAGTTTGATTTGTCCTCTCTTTAGCCATGTGTCCTTAGTCTACTTCTTTAATGTTTATTTTTGTGATTAGTTTATCAGTGTTGACAGTCTTGATTATACCAATTTGCTAGAGCTATTTATAATAGGTAAAAAATGTTAACATWCTTTAAAATTATGAGCATAAATGTTAATAAGTATATATTTTCCTCTTACATAATTAATGCTTTTGAGATTAGACCAGGGATGGATACATGACATCGGTTTTGGGTGGTTAAATGTTGTTTTGCTTCCACAGCAAGTTTTTACTTTTGGATTTTAGGTGGGTTTTATATGTAGCAGAGCATGGTCAACTCATTTTATTTCTCCATTTGTGTAGTGTTAAGATGAATCTTTCTCTGACTTGCCCTGGCTGTGGCCTCAAGAAGCTCATACTAGTTGTTCTCTAAACTAAATGTAAAGCTTACACAATTTGGAATGATACTGTCTGGGTAGGACATCTACCTCCAGCACATAATCCCCACAAGGCCTGGGATATTTGGAGTCTTTTTTTCTAGAATGAGAACATTAATTAATTAACATAAATTAATCCTTTATTTCACAGGGTGCTGTGAGCATTCAGTGAAATCTAGTATGAAAATACTTTGTAAACTCTGATGTCTCAAATAAACACTAGCCAAAACACTTTTATGTTATAATGTTTCATATGAAGTATAATTTTCATATTGTAGTGAACATTTCATTTTTTATTAAGTTTTATCATAGGAACCTACACCTTCTATAATTGGGGACCAGTAACTTAATGTGTTGGACAAGTTTATCTCTTATCTAGAAATGAGGGTCCAATTGACAGGGTTTGAGCCCCCAAGGAAAAAATCATACTTAGGAAAGGAAGAAAATATAGTAAGAAAAAATCACTTGAATTAGAAATAGACCTCCAACCCCYGGGTGGCAATGTCTGAACATATTTTCAGTTGTCACAACTGGAGGTAGGCAGGGATAGTTGCTACTGGCATCTAGTAGTAGCAGCCAGGGATACTGTTATGTATCCTAAAACTTACAGGACAGCCCTCCCAAAACAAAGAATTGGCTACCCCAAAGATCAGTAGCATTAAGATTGAAAATCCCTGTCTTAGAAGATTAAGAATATTTCCATATATTCCCAGGTAGAACTAGTGCTCTTGATAAGATAGATAGACCAATCGATCAATCAATCAATCTATGGATCTTGAATTGACAACTTGCTACTGGGAAAATCTACCCTATTACTTGCCTACCTAGTGAAATTCTGTTGAAGTTTTAAGGAATAACTCTACAATTGCCCTTTTAACTCTCCCCCGGCCCCTCCTTATTTTCTTGGCCTCTGGAAGAATTACTAGCTCCCTTGTGTTTGTTCCCACAGTAATGTGCATACAACTCTATATAGCATAGAACTTAATGTATCATATCTTGCTGGTGGTGAGTCTGCCTCCTCTGCTGTTTTGGGCAGGAATTACACCTCTTCCAGTTTTACTCTTGGTACCTGGCTATTGGGGTTAATAACTATTTTTTTTGGAATCTGAAGTGTTKTAAATATAAGGATGAGCAAGAAGATGCCTAGTCTCAAGAAATGTGTGAGTTATTGAAGGGTGGCAAATCCTAATGGGGCAAATTGTGATACAGCAGAGTGGTTCCTCAAAGCAGAGAACTGTACCAGGCAGGTTGTATCAAAAGTGATTCTGTGAATTTCAAAACTATGCATTGTATTTGATCTGGCCATTCGGAGGAATGTCACACAAAAATAATCAGACATGTTCATAATGATAAAGAAAGTTAATGTAGTACCATTTAGAATATAGAAATTTGTAAATTCTCTAAATTTCTAATAATAGGAGGTTGGTATCACTTTCATATGTGTAAGATGGAAAGATGTAGCCAAGCTGTTTAAGCTGACTTGTGAAAATGGTCAATATACAAACACATGTGCACACACTGCAAATTCAGGGCTACTTACATTAACATGTTTTTAGGTAAAAACAGTGACTTTCATTTTGACTAGGTCAAGATAAGAGTTCAAGTCTGAAATAAAGACCAACTTATTTGGCAAAGCCAATCTACCTTTTGGTTACTATAATGAAACGTAAAATGTAGTTTCTGCCCCCAGGAACTTCTCATTTAGTTCAGGTTACTCCAAGAGATCTTTGTGGCACTACTTGAAAGATGTGGACTGAGCCAGCAGATTGGTTTGAGTTTTTCCACTGAATATTGGATACCGCCTTCTCCCCTTGCTAAGAATAGCTGACAGAGCCAGGAACTGCTGTTTAGGGAGAGTTTTATAAAACCAAGGCAGTCCCAAGGGTAAAGCTGCATGATCAGAAGATGTACAAATGAGCAAAACAGGGATCCTCTGGTGACAGGTGAAAGAGATAACTGACAACAGCTGTTTGCAGCAGGAAGTGACAAGTGGGAACTGCCCTTCTCTTTCTCTTCGACTAAGGCCACTTGGCATGGCATAGAGCTCCCTTTCCAGGAAAATATGTGTAGGAATTTTTGAAGTGAGTCCTGAGAGGTGATGTTTTTCCAATGACTGCTGAACACAGGCACTCTCTAAAGAATTCCAGGAGCTCTTCAGCTTTTAAATGAAGATGCAAAAATCAAAAGAGCAGTAAATTGGTGGGATAATGAGGGTAGGAAACCTCATCTAGCTGCCACTGCCCCAGTCCCTCATAAACACTTTTATGGCTCATTCTGTCTGTTGAAGTATCCTGCTGAACACGTCTTCAGTTCATTGTCTCCTATATTTCAGTCCTGCTGTAAATGTCTACATTTTAAATCTCAGGGAGTTCACAGTGGAGTTAAGTGTAGAAAGAAAGAACTCTCAGTCTCACCAAATAGCCTAAAGGCATGATGAAAAATAGTGGTTTTTGTTCTTTTGTTTTGTTTTATGTCATAGCTCTTTGACTCAGTGGTTGACTTTGGAAGTCACAAATTCTGAACTTTGGTTTCCCCAAAGTTATGAAAACAACAGTACCTATCTCACAGGGTGGGTRTAGGGGAGGTGTCCTAAGGTTGTATTGAGAGCAGCTTTATTATTGGATTATTAGTGCTCATTCCAATTTCCTTTTTTTTTTTTTTTTTGGCAATCACCCAAATTTTTCTTTTAAAAATAAATACAGATAAATAAAAAAACTGAATTATTCTGAGTGAAAATACCCACTTGAATGTGACCAATATTGTGAAAGTGGTAGATATGAAAATGATTTTGTGAAAAAATGAGCTCAATATTATTACAGAATTCCTTCTGAGCTGTGAGATACTATAATTCTGAAAGCAAACTCTTCAAACTTTTTAATGCCCATCGCCTGTATCTGGCCATAGGCACATGTATTAATACTGCTCTTGTAATAAATGTAAGCAATTGGACCTCAGATAAAGGATCTCCACTCTTAGTTCTGGATCTTGGCCATCCTTAAGTCATCTGGGCCCTATAAACATTTTTTTTCTAAAACTCAACCCTGGCCCAAAGCTACAATAGCAGCTTGTTACTAACATTTTAAGAGCCTGTGACCTACTGACCTGGCTTCTTCTCCAAATGTACCGAGGATGAATTAGAACTAAAACAATGTTTTTATAAATCATTTAAACCAATGGCTCATTTTTCACTTTTTGTTCTAGGCCAAGCTTTTCATTTCTACTGAGTTATAATCCATATTTGATTTTCTTCACTTTGACTTAATAGTGCATATTGAAAAAAAATAGAATGTCCAGCTCTGAAGACCTGAGGGGTTTTAAAGAGTTTATTATAAAGGATTCTGCCCGATATACCCTGAAGGTTATATTATGATGACAACAGAGAGAACCTGCAAAGTGGCAGAAAATTGATTTTTCAGATCGGTTTGATACTTTCCTGCTCAGACTAGTCAACTCTTAAAAAATTCTTGCTCAGGAGCCTTGGAAGTTAATGATTTTGCACAGTGCCTTGCATAGTGATTAGGTACTCTGTCAATGTTTATTAAAGGAATGATCTGCAGAATTAGCATTCTCTAATATGGAAAAACAAATAGGTTAAGGCTCAAAGACAACTCATTTTCAATGCTATGACTTCACATAGCTTTGAGAGTGGGTTCATTTATTCATGTAACTTAATTAACAGCTCTCTTTGGGTTGGGTTAGTTGATGGCGGCAGCGGGGGTGGGGGTGGGGGGACGTCTCTTGCAAGGAATACACAAACA